TTGACACGCTGCCACGAGAGATCCAGAACGGCATGCTGCTGCGCGTGCAGCCCGTCCTGTTCAATGTGGGAATCAACGAACAGCAGACGCTGGCTGAGAAGTGAGTCACTGAAATTTGAGGGCAGGAAAGGTTAAGGGCTGGAGGACAGTAAGTAATGGATAGGAGAAAGGGCACCCCAGAGGAAAATGTCATGTAGGTCCATTTTTAAGACATTGTGGTACATTTTGTGGTACTTTTCAAATGAAATATTTCAAATTGTAATCAAATACAACAAAGTGCTTTTACCAAATAAAAACGGGGAAAGGCAGTTTTCTAGAAATAACTTTAATCGTTGGGTTGAACAAATTTGGCATAGTTCAATTATTCAAGGTTCAATTCATAGCTTTTGTTTTTTGGAGTTGTTTCTGAGATTTTGAATGGGTTCTTCTATAAAAATATATATATATATTTATATATATATATTTTAATATTAGATACTGTTTTGAAAATTTTTCTTCCTCACAAAAAAGTCATATTACAGTGATATATATAGTGTACTGTAGTTAAATGATGATGTTTCTCCTCTTTATCCACCTGATGCTCATTAGAACATTAGAAAATGGAGGAAATAAGTTGAATGAAGTTGTTTGAATCAGGAGTGAATAGATGGAGTGAGAAAGGTTGCTGCTCGTTAGAACCTCCATGCAAACCAATGTTGAGCTGCCTCTGAGCAAGATACTGAAACCTAGTTAAACTGGGTTGTGAATGTAATACATGTGCTCATTTTTAAATTGCATTATTACAGCAGGACATTGCAGTGGTAGTCATGAAAGATTTAGACTCTAATATCTTATTCAGGTTTGGAGACACGACACTGCAGGAGGTGATCAACACAGAGAGCGTGACTCGCCTCAGCTCATACTATGACCAATTTAAAGAAGTCCTGCCAGAAGACTGTGAGTTTACATGCATACAGATACAAAATACTGTTATCAGAAGGGTAAATGTGTATCTTCTTGTTCCCATATTTAACTCAGCTCATCGTTCCTACCCGGTTCTCTCCTCAGGCCTGCCCCGCTCCCGCAGTACCACCAGTCTGCCCGAGCTGCTTAAACTGCTGAGCCAGAATGTGAATGCCAAGAAAAGCAAGAACGTGGAGATACTGTGGCAAGCAGCCGAGGTAGACTTGCCTATCGTGTCTTTTCTATGCAGCCCCCAACTTTAAAATCTCTGTCTTTTTCCCCTAATCTCTTTCTCCAAACTCTAAAAGGCATGTCGCCGGCTGAATGGAGTGCGTTTCACCAGCTGTAAGAGTGCCAAGGACCGCACAGCCATGTCTCTGACTCTGGAGCAGTGTCAGATCCTGCAGCAGGAGCACGCCCTCGCCCCACAGGTCTTCTACCAGGCCTTAGACTGCATGCGCAGGTCAGCTGATGATGAAAGTCATAAATCTCACGTTATTACCCCTACACCAAATGCTCCTAAGACAGGTAACATATTTGCCAAAATAAATAATGCATGGCTTTTGTTTCTCCACAGTGAGGGCTGCAGGAGAGAGAACACCATGAAGAATGTGGGATGTCGTAAATATGCCTTTAACTCTCTCCAGCTCAAGGCCTTCCCCAAACAATATCGCCCTCCAGAGGGCACATACGGCAAGGTTGAGACCTAAGTGGACTCCTCAATCTGGAGGAAACAAAAAGACTGATGTCACCACAAAAACAAAAATACCAACACAAACTGGAGCAACAGCCCTTTGTTTTGTGCCACTGTTAAGAAAAGTAATGTCCAAGTGCCAGTGCTACTGTAGATTGTTTTATAGCGGTTCCCCAACTCCTCCAGTAATACTAGAACCACACACTTTTCACGGTTACTTCACAGCCAGAAAGAGTAAAGATTTGGCTTTCTGTGTAACATAGTAGCCAGTATGCAGACAACACTGTTGGCTGTTGTACCAGTTGTAGCATTAGGAAGTGTACAACTGAGTCCTTTTAACTTGTGTCCCTAGAAATAACTTGTGCAACTGTCTCAGCCTTTAGAAAGATGATGTGGGACACACATCTGTCCTTGCTGCTTTTTTTTTTTTTTTATCAGTTTGTCAGCTTAAGAAAAAGTCCATTTATATTTTTATCATTATCAACAGATGCCAAGCGAAGACCAAACCCAACAAAGAATTGATCTGTCAAAACCTGATACAGCATATTCCTCTGTGTGTAGGCAAAATGTTTTTGAAGCATTCACTAATTTCCAGCCTAAAACACAAAGTGAAGCTGCATGTAGATCCCACAGATCTCATTTTATTTGTCGAGTGTTGTCATTTTTCTTAATAAATTCAGACTAATGGTAAGAGCAGCAAGCAAGCAGGGGACTGTGCTGTGTGGAGATTACAAAATGTGAAAAGATGTCTTGAAAATAGATTTTTAAGAAACTTACTGTATATCTTGCTGCCATTTGGAGCTGCCTACACGTGAGGTTGCCTAGTGTAGCTTTAATCAGACTTCGATCAGGTTTGTAAAAACAAATGTCTTTGCCTGTTAAGATATTTCTCTGGACCTAAACTGCGCTGCAAAAGGACATCTGTTGAAGTCACAGCACTTTTCTTGTCTCCCTCCCATTGTATCTCCTTTACATCTTCTTCAGTCACATAAATATTCAACACAGTATCACTCTGTACAACAAGCACAGATCTTTAAGAAGTGCATATCTTGCATTTGTGTTGCAGTGATTTTGTCTAATGTGATTTCTGAGGTGCTTCTGATGCTACACTGGAAGCGTTAATGGGGAACCGGTTCACAAATTGTGGGCTTTAGAAGCAGTGCATTACATTATTCTATACTTCTAACATATCTACAGATATTTAGGACATTTCTGCAGTTTATACGCAGCATTATATTGGTTCGACAGTCCTTCAAACTTTTGGTTTTTATTTATTAAAAGTGTGTGTTCTCGGTTTGACAGCATTCTGAATTATGCACATCTTTGTGATCCAATATGGATGAAAACTTAATTTAACCTGCATGAAGATTTAAAAAACTCCTACTGCTTTATACTAGTTAATAATGAATTAAAAGTACACATGAGCACTTGACAGATGGTTTTAGACTGAAGTGAAATAATGCATATTGCATTATTCTACCGACCTTCAACAGCACCTCTTCTGTCTTCAGTTTACCAGCTCCAGGCTCCAATGTACCTTAATGTACAAAACATACAGAGACAGTTGATTTTATTTTGAAAATTATTTTGCTTACAGGTATTTATGTTGATATGTCTGTTTTTGCCAAATGTTGTTATAGTTTTATCCATTGTTATTGAGTAAGTTATGACCTTGTTCTCATCAGTTGTACATGCGCACAGGTTAGACAGGGGAGTTTTGGGAGATGCCTGCACCCCCCCACAGGTATGACGTGAAACTGGATAATGAATAAAGGCTTGTCAATGCCAAATGAGTGTGTCCGTAAACTAAATTTGTTTGTGAATTTAGCAGCAAATATTTCACCCTTTTAACTCTGTCTCACACTAATTGCCTCAGAGAGAAGCATCTTCAATTTTATTATGTCCATTTATTTTTCTTCACTCTAAAAACAAGCTCCCGATCAAGGCTCATTACTTAATAAACAAAGTATGCAACTGCTCCAGGCACAATGTGTGTATGGTTTGTGGATATTTGGATGACTACAAATATGTTCATGAGTAATTAGAATTAGAAAATGAAATTTAAATGACTAGGCTATGCATAATCATTTCTGTTGCCTAAATGCTCATCCACAGCTATGATATCCGGGAAATTATGTGAGGAATGTGTACTAATCAGAATGATAACGGTGTAACAGAGGCTTCAAAGCTATCAGGAGAGTCCACGAAATGTCAGTCAGTTACAGTCTGTTCACACTCACACAGTCCTGAGAACAAGAGTAATTGACTTTTTTTTTTACAGCAGACATTTTGACTTGTCTTAGCAGGCAAAGCACAAGTGTTACATATAACATTAATGATGGCTCTGTTATGTTCAAGTGTCCCAGTTAGTCATGACAGTGTGACACCCATCATTAATTTGAATATTTGCACCTGTGTTTCTACTACTGTGACATGAAAAACTCCAATTTCAGTCATCTGTGTGGGTTTAGCATGAGTGTGCAGTGCAATTAAGACTCATAGAGGGGTCCTGTATCAAAAACAAGTTTTAATCCTATGAATTCAAATTGGTTTAATTTCATTTTACTTTAAGTGTTAGTATGCAAACACAGTGTACAAAGAGGAGATGGTGGTGGTGGTGGTAGTAGAAAGTGATTGTGACTTCTTTTTGCCCTGGGACCCCTAAATAGATTAATCCGGCCATGCTTCCAATGGACTGTCTAGTTTGGTGACTGTTCAGTAGTTTTTGTTTGGTTGTTTGGTGAGGTTATGTTTTCTTAACTTTATTTTGAAATACAATAGTGAATCAAAAATTATAGAATCAGCTGTATTGGCCAGTTTGTACACATACAAAGAATCTGACTCCCGTTTTAAGTTGCTGTAAATAATACACAGAAATAAAGATGCAGCTAAAAACAAGTAGAACAAAGCTGAACAAAGATAAGTACACATAGAAGACTAGATAGATGATTATGTACATACTAGATGTATAAATATTTAAAAGCAACCATGACCAACAACACATCTACAAGTGAAGTGTTTCTGTAAATTGTAAACAAAAAATGCAAAGGAATAAATGAGAAAAAATACTCCGTGACAATTATTTAAACAAAAAAGTAGACAACAAAATAAACTTCTAAGTGGGCCACTGAATTTAATCAAATTTTTAAAAAATCAAATATATTCCGGTTCAAGAGTCGCACCAAAACCAGAGCGAACACGTGTTTCCCTTTAAGGGTGTTCCAACAATGACGTCATTGCCATAGATTGTTTAGTGCAGCAGAAGAAGAGTCACCTCGACCCTTTAATCCACTCTGGAAATGTGAGGATTTCACTCTTTCGCATGCGCACATGGCGCTCAGCCCTTACACGTTAGCTCAATTTAAGGCGACACGTTTCGATGCAGTTTGTGGTGCGTAGAAATGACTGCGGAGTGAGAGCTCGCTGCTATGACGATCTCCGGTCTCCTTCTGTATGCATGGCGGGATTTATCCGGTGTGTTGTTGTGAAGAAGACATTTCACATTTTCAGCAACTCTGTGCGGAGGTGAGGTAACTTCCGCACCTTCAAACTTAGAACCTTAAAACTGAAGAGCTTTATTACATATTCATATTTGTTTCTGATAGTTATCATGTTAGCTTGTCGTGTTTCTGTGCTTGTGTTGACGTTTTATAGATCAAAGAACTCCTAAAGGCAGTTTAATGCTCTTGAATGCAGAGTCATATTCTTTTAGTCATACACTATCTATTTTTTGTGGCAAAAACACTTAAGACATAGTGGTGGAAAGGACATTTACTCTAGTAAGCCTACTGTAGCACAGTTTATTTCGGTAATGCTTTAAACTTCACCTCATTTCAGAGGGAAACGTTGTACTGTTAACTCCACTACATTTATCTGACAGCTGTAGTCACTAACTTAATTAATTTATAGAAAGAAAGGAAATAACATCCCAAACACAATAAGGTTAATTTATGCTTATCTTTATAGATTAATTGTAACATTAAAATGATGCATACACATTAATGCATCCGTAGTAATAATATCATATAAATATAATATAAATATAAAACGGTGAAAGAAGCAGTGATGAAAGAAGTGCTCAAATATTTTATTCAAGTAAAAATAGCAGTACCACACTGTAGAAATACTACTTTGTTTAGTCTTACTTTGCAGAACAGTCCATTTTAGAATAATGTAATATTTTTGGTTTATGATCACTTTTAATTCACCCCTGTGGATCAATAAAGTCTTTGATATGATAATATCATTATTTATTGATTGATTATATTTTGTATTCTTAATCTGAATGTAGTTACTAAAGTTGTAAAATAAATGCAGTGGATACTGGATATATAGATATTTGCTTCTGAGTTATTGTGGATTAAAAGCATAAAATAGCAGAAAATGGAAATACTCAAGTAAATACTCAAAATTGTACAGAACTTAGTGAAAGTACTTACTTTCCACATCTGGACAGGCATCATTCTGCATAATAAGTTATTTCGATACTTTAAGCACATTTTGCAAAAAATACTGTACTTCAGTAAAAAAATTTATTCACGACTGTAACCTTTGATAGACACTGTAAATATACTTATTAGTAAATATACTTTTAATGTGTTTTGCAACGCTGCCTGAGAGAGCGATGTCTCGACAGGATATGTGTTTATTTCCACAATTGATAAGTTGTGTTTCTTTTGAGAGGCAGATGAAGCCTTGACGTCTCATATCTGTAAGTTAATGGAACGTATGGTGAATGAGAGGTTAACATACTTCTTGGAGGAAAGAGAAATAGTGGCTTCATACCAAAGCGGTTTCAGGAAGGGAAGGAGTACCATAGTTCCAGTGCTGGGGCTAGAAGATGAAATAAGGAAAGCTCAAGTAAATAAAGAGACAGTGGTTGCAGTATTTTTCGACGTGGAAAAGGAAGTATTGTATATGGTTCGGCAGCCAAATCTGTATTAGCAGACCTGGATGTTATACAAGCGCTGGCTTTAAGAGTGTGCGTAGGAACCTCCCCAGTATGTGCTCTCCAAGTTGAAGCAGGTGAAATGCCATTGTGGTTGGGGAGGAAGCAGCTGGGGGCTAATTATTGGGTCAATTTAAGAGGGCATGGAGATAGCCATCCAGCAAAAAGGGTGCTGCAGATGTGCTGGGAGAAGGAGACAACACAAAAAACAAGTTTTGGGTGGAAAGTGGAGCAAATGGCAAAGGATACAGGGGTATATGATAAAGAGTTTGGTGCAAATGTGGTGTGGCCTATCAGACCTGCCTGGGAATTAGAAATACCATGTGTAGATTTGGAACTACTTAAGATTAAATGCAATAATAAGAATGCTGATTTAGCTAGTGTATATTATAGCTATAGAGAATGTAAGTATAAGGAAAGTATTCAGATTTTCACAGATGGGTCAAAGGACATGCAAACAGATGCAACAGGAGGTTGTTGTTCCTAGGTATCAGGTGGAACTTAGCAAAAGAACATCTGATTGTCTGAGTGTGTTTGCAGTTGAACTGTTTGCCATATTGATGGCGTTAGAATGGACAGAACAAATTAATGATAAGGAAATATTAATATGTAGTGACTCTGTGTCAGCTCTTATAAGCATGAAGACATGCACAACTAGCTGGGATAATGCAATAAAAGGGAGACATTTACACGAAATCCAAAGCAAAGTAGGTATATCAAGAAGTAGGGGAGCAAAGAGGAAAGAGCAGGTGATAATAAGCAGGCTGAGAATTTGGCATAGCGATCTTAACAGCACCCTTTTAATTACAGGAAAACATCCTACAGGAATGTGTGAACAATGTCAGGAGGCTGAAACAGTAGAACATATTCTTACAACATGCAGGAAATTTACTCAGGAAAGACAAGAAATGATAATACAGTTACAAAAAATAGGACAGGTAGTAAAAAGTTTATAGCAGTATGGAGAGAGTGTGGAGGGTAGGAAATGGATATTTGGTTTTCTGAGGGCGACTGGATTAGCTAGGCAGATTTAGTATGAATGAAAGCAAAGGGTAAATAAAGCCTGAAGGTGGCTGTAATGCAACTCAATGGATGCCAGCTGCCGTAAAAACCCAAAGAAGAAGAAGCGGCAAATGAACTGTTGCTTCCTGTAGTGTAACTCCTCCCACTCAGTCAGTTTTTCCCTTCAGTTTCTGACATCCTTCTTGCTGCTCAAAGGTTCTTTGCAGTTGACACTCGATGGTTCCAGTCTGTGAGAGGAAGAGCACCAGCCGGCAAATTCTGGATTAACGTTATATCTTTTTCACACTTAGCTACAGGTAAGTGTTGCCTGGTGAAAATTTTTTCCTTCTAAGTTGACTGAATTAAACAACCAACAAACCTCCACACAACTTTCTGTGACCGTGATGTAATGGAAATGTTATCTTCAGATTACTGATTTACTAGAGGAGTAGTAAAGTGAGATCAAAATGTGTTGTGCCCAATCCACACTACTGCGTTTTTGGTGCTACGTTTTAAAATTTAACTTAAGTGAAAGTTAACTTACGTTACTGAGTGACCGATGCTCTGTTTTTTGCACCTCTTACTGTTATGAAAGATGTGCATTTTAGGCAAAGGCTTAACGCTGTCTGAAAGACTTTTTTAGATTTGAAAAAAAAAATTAATTTTATTTGTGAAAATGAAAAAAGGGCGATTTCACTGCTTTTTCTCTACATGCAGGCCACATTAGACCAGGTCCAGATCCAAAACCACTATTCCTAGAGCTCTCAAAACTGGACTAGATTGTCCCAGAGAGGCTAAAGTTTCTTTTAAATACAGTTTCAGATTTGGGAAACTTTTATTCAATTTGTGAAAATACTATAAAGGGCAATTTCAATGCTTTTTTCACATGTAGACCACATCAGACCAGGTCCAGATCCAGATTATTTCAACAGCTAAAAAGGACTGGATTGGTTGGTACACAGCAAGTTATAATGTAGAGTCATAAGGATAATTGCAAAAGAGATCATGTCTTTATTTTATATATAACTCAGTAGTAAGTCATGTTTATTATAGGCCATATTCCGTTTTCCAAATATAAACAAGGATATTAGACATACGCCTATCAAACACATAATCCATCAGCAACAACAGGCTTCTATTATTGCCAATAGTCACATAAATATCATGCCTGCTTATGCTATAAAACTGCAAAAACTTATTTGGCCTCAATTGTGATTAGTCCGTTCAAAGAAACATTAAAACAACACAAAGACATATCTTTGCTATTACCACGGACATAAATTGATGTTTATTTGCATGTTATGTCTGTTTGATCCAGATAAAAGCAGCTGTAGATGTAAAGAGACTGGGCGATACAGCTTTAACATGCTGCACGTGCTCCTGATCACTTTTCAGCATGACACCTGTATGCTCTGCTGTCCAGTTTTTCTGGCCACGTAAAATCTGATTTCAGGTCTGTCAACACCTTATACAGTCTATGATTAACACACAGTTAAAAACGGGGACATTTCCGGGGACAGTCCCTGGTTTTGGTGGCCTGTCCCCGGAAAACGGGAACATCTGGTCACCCTAGTCCAAATGACACTTATAGTCTACACCTGTACTGTGTATGTTGCCATTTACTTTGCGACGACTTCCAGTCTGTTTTCTGCCGCCACAGCCGCTTTTTTCTCCGCAAGTTCACCCAATCTGGTGTACTTCTTCATCTGTAGTACCTTATTCTTTTGCCAAATCTTCTGTAACTATGGAATAGACCATCTGCTTTGTGTTTACACCGGCACACGCATGCCCAGTGTACGTGAACAGCCACTAGATGTAATTTTAGTATAGATGGAGATCAACTCTGATACACAGCTGAAACAGTGGTGTGGACCGAGATCGTATTCATTTTTTTGTGTAGATGGGCTTAGTGGACTACAGTCTTTGCTCCTTAGGATCCACGATGAGTAAGAAGCTGCTGGTGGATGTAGACTGTGGAACTGATGATGCTCAGGCCATCATGTTGGCGCTGGCCGCCCCCAATGTGCAGATCCTGGGTATCACCTGCGTGCATGGAAACACCACAGTGGAGAACGTGTGTAAGAACAGCCTGCGGGTTCTGCAAGCCTGCAATAAACTCGAGGTGGGTGCAGCACTGATATGCTCTATACAGTGTGGTTATATTATGATGCTGACATGATTGACACGATTTGCTGGTGTATATTGTGGGTTTTTTTGTTTTTAGACCAACATCAATGTGTTTGCTCAAAAGTCAGGAGTGTTGCCAGGCTTTTACTGGAATTTACTGGCATCATGTGACATGTAAGGGTGCTGTTCATGAAACTACCCAACAATGAGTTGTTGTTCCTCAAGCCACATGAGCTCAGTTAGCTTTAGTGGAAAGGTTTGAGTTGCATGAGTACATATCAAGATTAGACTATTGCATTTTAATACCAAAAGAAATTGGAAATATCCTGTTGTTTTGGCTTGATGTTCTGAAAAAGAAAACAAAACCTAACATCCAACATATTATAATATTAAACAAAATATCTGCTCACTAATACTGTGTAAATATACAGTATTGCGCATGAAGTCTCACTCAACAGAAAAATATATGAATCAGATTTGCCAAAAATCAACCAATCACACGTTTACTGACTGCTTTTTCAGAGGTGTGTAAAGCAAGCCAGAGTCTCTTTTGAATTTCGTTCAGAACTCTTCAAAGTAAAAGCTCTCAAAAAACTTGTCATATAGCATTGTGGCACAAAAAATTCTCACGCTTTTATTTTGGAGGCACAATCACTTAAGAGAAATTGATTGTGTGAGTAACTGTAGCTGTCATGACTGAGATCTATTTCAGCACCAGCCACTATCAATTTATTTTTTATTTTTCTGCTATCAAAGCAATCTGGCTGCGGGCCAGATATTATTGCTGGTTGGCCAGTACTGGCCCACGGGCCGCTTATTGCCGACCACCGGTCTAGAGGTTTAGTGTGCCGACCATGAACCACAGCTTCTTCAGTTGGAGATCATTTATTTCATATTGTTCCACATCGATCTACTGCAAACTACTACATATATTTAAGGCATTTAATATTCCCAAAAAGTGCTTTAGAAAAGCAGTTTGTCATGTATTCCAGATTGGTCGAACAACAGCCCCATTTGTGGTCACCGTTTTTGTATAAAAAAATTAGCATAGAAAAACATTTTATACATTTGTGTAGAAAATGTTCAAAACTGAGGTTTATTGACTAAAAAATACTCATTTGCAGGACATTCAGTTGAATTTAAAACTCAGCACAGTTTAAAGGTATATATATCTTTGTCATATGAATATATATTGTGATGTACTTAATTATATCTTTCCCTAATTTTAATAAATCAACTGTCTGTCAACTGGGAATGTCTGATTTTGGAAAATTCAGTCAAGGTAAAGTCATCACATTGATTTAGCAATATTGTTAATCCAACGTTGCCATAAAATAGTTCAGCTGTATAATTTGCAATATTGGTTACATTGGTATAAATGTTTCATATCAAATGTCTCATATCACCATATTGCCCAACCATATCTTGTAGTTTTTTATCATTAATGTTGTTGCCACAAATCTGTTAATAATAACAGCAGAATAACATTTTCCCTTGTGGTGCGTCTGCATAATTCCTCTGGTGTACTCTTCTTTTTACGTGGCAGATTCCAGTGTTTAAAGGTGCAGCTAAGCCTATCCTCGGGATCAGCATTAGTGCAGGAGACTTCCACGGGCAGGACGGGCTAGGAGACGCTCCTGACTCCAACGCTCCTGGTCTGGACCTGGTTCAGAAGGAGAGCGCTGTGTCAGCTATGATTAGGATTGTCAATGAGAACCCAGGACAGGTGAGAGGCGCTCGACTCTGATTGTGTGCGTATATGGGCTTCTTTCAGGTCTTTTCAAGTCTTGGTTTATTCTCTAGGTATCTCTGGTTGCAACAGCACCCCTTACCAACCTGGCTCTGGCTGTGAGGATGGATCCATCTCTACCGAGCAAACTCCGGGGGCTCTACATCATGGGAGGCAACACTGAATGTCAGTAAAATCATCAAATGTAATTTGTTCATAATGCATTGTAGCAAAAAGTGGTAATGTTGACACAGTATGAGAGTGCCATACAAAATAATGTACTTTAAGAAAAATAACTTTTTATAATTCCATCCATTTCTGTCATCGTTGCACCTCCAATTGGCACAGGGTTTTTTTGTCTCATTTCTAAAAAATACTTTATTGATCCTACAGGGGAAATGTGGTTTTGTTACAGTTGCTAATTTAACAAGACTTAAAGAAATAAAGACTTAAACTAATTTAAAGAAATAGAATGGAAATAATAATATATTTCAGTTAAAAGCCTAGTCCCACTTAGTTCCCAGTCACTATTACTGGCCTGGTGTAGCTACACATTTGACAAATAAATGCAGGTCTCAATTAGAAGCCTGGTCTGTTTTTTAATTAAATTTCTCTGGATGTATTCAACCTCTGAAAGCCCACCAGGTCACCTGCTTGAGCTAATTTTAAGCTGCTTATATCATGTATACCGATATAAATGTTTAAACTTTTGTCAATATGGACATGCCACACGATCGGATTCCACACAATTCAATCATTTACTTTACGGAAACGGAGCACCAAAGTAGTATTAATTCAGATTTACAGGCATGGTAAAGGAATTATAGGCCTGTCCCAAAATGGACACCAGTCTCAAATATAGGCAGGGAGAGTTCAGTGATTTAAGTAAATAAAAGCCCAGGATATTAATTGAAGTTTTACAGTAAATAGAAAATATAGAAAATAAAATAAAAGCATGTAGAATTATGTACAGTATGTGACAGAAGTGTGCTGAATAAATAGTCTTAATAATAATAATAAGGACTGATAGTCTTGAGCTGTAGTGGATTTAAATCTTTAAAAAAATTGCAGTATAAATAATAATAAATGACATAATATCACGTCTGTTTTGTTGAAAACTCAAAACTGAGTACAGCATGGCAAATGCCACTGTTATTCAACCTAACGTGACTACAGCTCAAATGATGAACATCTCCGTCAGGATACAGCTTTTCCCAGTTTTAAAAACCGAATGTCTTTCAGGCTTTGGACTAAAACAAGGAAGTGGAATTTGTCAATGACATTTTTCATTCATTTCTGGCATTATCCAGACAAAAAATGTATCTATAAATCAAGATAAGATTAACTGAAGATGAAAGTAATTGTTTGCTGCAGCTCTATGATTCCAGTACTTGAAATTGAAATAAAATGTCTTCAGAATTTAAATCTTTGTCTATCAATATATAGGCAACATCTACATGTTGGAGGTGGAGTTCAGTGTGTAATCAGTGATTTGCTCCTTCAGCTCGAGGGAACACTACAGTGTGCGCAGAGTTCAATTTTGCTGCTGATCCAGAAGCTGCGTACATTGTACTGAACGGCTACGAGTGTCCCACCTACTTGGCCTGCTGGGAGTTTACCTGCCACAGCAAGCTGTCCTGGGTAAGGCCTCCTGTTTACACAATGTAGCATATAGACTCCTCAGACAAGTAACCTTTCTACAGTAATAAGTTAATGCATCAAAACTCATTAGACAATTATTGCTTCTGTGTTAACATTTCTCCTCGTGTTGACAGGAGTTTTGCAACGAATGGTTGGCGCAAGACACTGATAAAGCTCGCTTTATGTCACGGATCTTCCGGTACAGCATGGAGGTATCACAAAATGAACGCTTCCAGAAAGAGCTTGTCGCCGGTACAGGTTTTATTTCCTGTGACTCATACGCCATGGCAGCTGCCGTAGACGATGCTTTCATCACAGAAAGCGACAGTTACCCAGTTAGCGTGGAGCTGACGGGCACACACACCAGAGGCATGATGATAGTGGATACGATAGGCTTCCTGAAGAAGACTCACAAAGCTTTTATCATGAAGAAGGTGGACATGGAGAAGTTCAAGCAGATGATGATTGCTGCTTTAAAATAGCAGTTCTGAATAATATAAGGAGGTATTAGTGACCACCATGTCAATTTTTCTGTCCACATTTTGGTGCAGTATGATTTTCTGAAGAGTTGATACTCACATTTCTCTATTTCTAAAAACATTCTATATATAACAAATAGACCATTGTGGCACTGTGCAACTAACAGCAAACTGTAATTTCACACTGTATAGCAGGAAAGATTGGTGCTGAAATATTAATGCTTATGGAAGACTTACTACAGTATCTTTATACCTCCATTGTATGACACCATTACAGTTTTTCTAGTGAACTACAAAGCTCGTTTCATTCATGTATTTTAATGATGGAACCTCATTAAAACTTTAATAGAAACTCTTTACATTTTATTCATTGTATTAAGTGTTTTCATATTACATCTCACACACTCATTCATCCAGAAAGAACTCCAGCCAGTGACAGCTCCAGTCCCCCCCCCCAGCACTACATTTTGCTGATAAGATGGTAATCCTTTTGTGCGTCAGTGTGCAGTGTTCTTTAATATTTGGTAGTCTTTTGCTACCCAACTTCTTTTGACATATCCTTCAGAGGTCAGAGGCTGCAAGTACACTGACCCATAAGCAGAGCTCTTTAAATTAAATCCTTACAAGTTGCTCATCCAGGATTCACTCGACCATATGGCATCAGAGTTCAGATGGTTCCTCAATATCCTTTCCGTCCTCTGAATCTTGACCTAGTGTCCAGCTGTTAAGGAGGACAGACACTGGTTAGTTTGCAGCACAGTCTTTGTACAAGATGGAATAGGATTTAATTGAAACACTACTGCCCATTTGTTATCAGTCACATTTCTGTTTTGTTATGCTTCTGGTCAGAAAAGAGGAAGGTAAAACATTCCCTGTTCTCTTTACTCTTCCACTTCCCACCAGTTCCTAGCTGCACCAAGTGCAAAATAATTACCGCAGACTCACCATTGACCTCTTACACTCAAAGAATGAAGTCTGCAGGGCTTTGCAGTAGCCTTCCTTCAAGCACTCACTGGGCATCTTCCCCTCCTGACAAATTAGTTAGACAGGTTAAGAAACCAGTTAGTTTCCATTTGGGTTGTAGCTTTTCCTTCCAAAGACACCATACAATTTACAGATCAGTTCATGGTGGAAATCATAGTCAAGTGACAGAAAATGAATTGATTGTAATTGCTGTTTACTGCTCAAAAATAAGTTTAGGTCAAGCTTGTTTTTCAGTCTTTCATGTAATTGGTTCTTTTGGTTGTTATTACTCCTGATTAGATGTTCCAAATCTTAAAGGCATAATCTGTAATTAATTTTAAAAAAAGAAAAAAGAAAAAGAAAAAAGGGAACCAGGCCAGTAATAGTGACTGGCATCTAATTGGGACTAGGCTTCCATTTCCATTCTATTTCTTTAATGCCTTGTTACATTAGTAACTGTAACAAAACCACATTTCCCCTGTAGGATCAATAAAGTATTTGAGAAATGAGAAAAAAACCTGTGCCAACGATGACAGAAATGGACAGTTATAAACATTTTTTTCTTAAAGCACATTATTTTGTATAGCACTCTCATAATCCGACCACAATTAAGTCAAAATACAAGATATTAACCTATCCCATCAAATGAACTGATTTAAAATGTAACCTGTAATTAAGAGCTGCAATGATTAATTATTATTAAATTAATTGCCAACTATTTTGGTAACCGATGAGTAATTTAAGAAAAAATTTAATTAATTTTCTTCTTGCTTCTTAAATTTGAATATTTGCTTTATTTTTTCCTCTTCTATGACAGTACACGTCATCATGAGCTTTGTGAATCAATGAAATGAAATTTTATAGACCAAACAATTCATTGATTAATCGAGAAAATAATCATTAGTTGCCTCACTAGTAATGATGTTTATCAATACTATTTAAACACTGAAGCAAAGGCTTACAGGTGCTGGTCATATAATTAGAATATCATCAAAAAGTTTATTTATTTCAGTTTTCCATTCAAAAAGTGAAACTTGGATATTATATTCATTCATTACACACAGACTGATATTTCAAATGTTTATTTCATTTAATTGTGATGATTAAAACTGACAACTAATGAAAATCCCAAATTCAGTATCCCCAAAAATTTGAATATTACTCAAGACCAATACAAAAAAAAGGATTTTTAGAAATGAACATGGAGTCGATCAGTCTGTGGCACTGCTCAGGTGTTAGGAGAGCCCAGGTTGCTCTGATAGTGGCCTTCAGCTCTTCTGCATTGTTAGGTCTGGCGTATTGCTTCTTCCTCTTCACAATGCCCCATAGATTTTCTATAGAGTTAAGGTCAGGCGAGTTTGCTGGCCAATTAAGAACAGAGATACCATGGTCCTTAAACCAGGTACTGGTAGCTTTGGCACTGCAGTTATCCCTATTGCTTGTACACTTTTTCCTACCACATCTTTTCCTTCCCTTCGCCTCTCTATTAATGTGCTTGGACACAGAGCTCTGTGAACAGCCAGCCTCTTTAGCAATGACCTTTTGTGTCTTGCCCTCCTTGAGCAAGGTGTCAATGGTCCTCTTTTGGACAGCTGTCAAGTCAGCAGTCTTCCCCATGATTGTGTAGCCAGCAGAACTAGACTGAGACCATTTAAAGGCCTTTGCAGGTGTTTTGAGTTATTTAGCTGATTAGAGTGTGGCACCAGGTGTCTTCAATATTAAACCTTTTCACAATATTCTAATTTTCTGAGATACTGATTTTGGGGTTTTCATTAGTTGTCAGTTATAATCGTCAAAATTAAAAGGAACGAACACTTGAAATATATCAGTCTGTGTGGAATGAATGTATACATTATACAAGTTTCACTTTTTGAATGGAATTACTGAAATAAATCAACTTCTAATTATATGACCAGCACCTGTATATACTGAATCCGACAAACATTTACAATTGAACATTCTATCTTTTCTCGTGTGTTTAATGGTAAAAAAGTAAGTAGACCAAATGGGCAGTCAGTATAACAAACCTAAATTGACAGTAAAATCTGTAACGTTAAGTCAACGTCTCCTAACGGTCCACTAACGTTGTCTCATCTCTCCATGAAAAAATTCATTTGTTGACCAGTGGGGGAAAAATTGCATACATTTGATCCACCACGAACAGTTTGACATTTTTAATGTTAACACCGCCCTCAACAGTATATTTCGGTGGGAGAGCAGTTAACTTTAGCTGTTATAACGTAACTTACCCTTAGCATCTAGTTTGCTTGCAAACGAAGCACCTAACGTTATTCAAATTCCAGTGTTCATAATAACGTCTAAGAATTACACTGAAGCCAAATTGAACAGCGTCTCCCATCGATTCGATCAACGCTCAGGTTTAAATAATACGTTTTTACAATAGAATTCGTGACTTCTTGACTGCAAGCCGAATGACAGGTCTTGTGTCTTTATTTTTCACTCTACACTGGTTCCACTAGCGCTGTCCTTTGCGGTTGAGGTCAGGGCTAAGGCCCACTTTATGTCAGGGGATAAGTTACAGATGGATAGATTTTCCACGTGTGGTTCGACTTGGGTAAGTTAGTTTTAACCTAGTTTCAGAGCTGTAGTTCAGATGTGAGCTATAACCAGAGGACGTTTACTAACCTTTACCACGCAGTCGTGCTGAAGGAGACACGCCTTGAAGTCCTCTCTGATACCGGCGCAGGCTCTGTTATCTTCCTCTTTATCCTCGTAATATTTCGGCATTGTGCAGAATCCACTTTAACACCAATACTTATTGATAAACTCGCAAGAGCAACTAGTTCACAGTAGTGATATAAATGTTGTTGTGAAAGGTTTCAGCCGCCATGTTTCTAAAAATGCATGATGGGAAAAAGGAAGTACCTGGCGCAAAGAGAAGTGCATGCTGGGCAGGCTTGTAGTTTTTAAATTTACGTTTTTACTTGTAGCCAGATAATAATCAATTTGTGAGAAGTTAAATTTTCTGGTCATGGTTGCAGTGGATTTCCTTTGCTTTCACCCAGTTACTCCACAAGTTGTTCTGAAATCAAACCTGATGATGGAGATGGCATGAGTAATGCAAGTAGAACGAAATAACAAAAACAAAATATCAATGACTTCTAAATTTGATCATTTATTTCAAAAATGTCCATGAAAAATGATGCCAAAAAACATCAGAGGCAAACATACACATGTACATGATGAAGGCACATGAACTGATGGGTGTATGGGGTTGTCAAGCAAGAGAAGTTTTTTTTCTCCTGTCCACGTTCCACAGTTAGAGGGATCGCAAGGATCACACGACCGCCCATTTCCATGCATTCAGTTTCTGTTTGTATGTAGATGTAGGACAAGTGTCTTTCAAAACATATTCCACTGTTTATATGTCTTGCTCTCTTCTTCTCCCAATTAACGATCAAGCTACTTCAGTTTTCTTGAGTAAAACTATCATGGATGGTTTGATCAGGGGGTGGAGGAGCCTGCTCTGACCAAAAAAACAAAAACATAATTTATAAATTACAAAGAAATGATCATGCATGTGAACAAGCAAAGATTGTTCTTTTCTCATCAACTCCACCAAAAGGCACTTCACTACCCCCTTAAATAAACCCTTACAATGTAAAAATAGCTTCCAATCAAAAACCATTGGCCCCACACACAAATACAAAACATGTCAAGGGAATTTCAACAAACTATCAAGTGAGGCAGAAGAGAGAGAGAGGGGGAAAGAAATATTGAACATATATATATATATATATATATATATATATATATATATATAAAAATCAGTGAAAGTACTACACAACCTCAGCCAAATCACACAACAAGAGGCGCTTTCTGCAGCGATAAGTAGTCATAATATTCTGTCCAATCGAAAAAAAGATACTTCATTGGACAAAATGCATTGTTACGTGAAAGGAGCATCTACTGTGGGAAGATGGAAAATTTAAGTACGAGGGTGAAGGGTGTGATGGCAACAAAAGAATAGTGAAAAAGCAGTGCAAATCAGTCTGGTTCACATGGTAATCAGGTACAAAACCCACCCTCTTTTTTAAAATCACTTTCACTCAACATAACACAGAAATTATTCTTAACATCCAATCACTAAGTGGTCTGTGTGTGTTATTTTATAAATATTAGTATATCCAGCAATCAAATTGTAGGTAAAAGCGTGGGGGAACAGATCGATATAATGTTGCTGAGATCATTTCAATGGACCTGGACATAAGGCACAATTTTGCAATTTTGACCCCCATCTACTTCAACAGAATCTATTAATCCTTCTCCTACCACTCAGTTTAAAACAGTGAAAATTAATCATTTTAGTTGTAGTGCTTCCCTTCAAGTGAAAAGAAACTGGCGCAAACTGAACCGAGCTACTTGCAACAGTAAACAAAGCAAATTCGCAAGTAGCTGCAATGCCAACAATAAAATGTACAATTTGGAAACAAACAAACACATCAACACACAAATAACACAGACTCTGAAATACCATAAACATCTCTTAATAGAATAAAAATATATTTTGCCTCTTGTACAAATTAAAGATTTATTTCAAATAAATTAAGTCACCTTCATAGATCGTCAAAGCTATAATAATAATATATCAATATATTCCTTCGGGGAAGATGATGCCAAGGCAATCTGATTAGTTTCCTATAAATGGACACTGAGGTCCTACACAGCCCGTCAGACAGGAGGTGAGCTAGATATGGTGTCATGGTACTTGTGTTCTTGATGGATTGGGGATGTTACCACAAAACCTGGCCACAAGTCAACGTTAATACTGACTGGCTAAAGGCAGGATTTTGGAAACCACAAGCTCATCCTGAGTTTGTGTTTCAGGACTAGCGGAGTATTTAAGTGTGGCTGACAATACTCTGGGAGTGAAGGAAACATTTTTGTTTGGGCTGGTGTTGATCTAGAGCTCCATCATCTCTGTCAAGAGCAAGTAGCCAATTGTGATGAAAACATTCTCGGTCATCACAGGCTGTGCTGAGGCGCTAGTGACAGTGCAATGCCCAAGCGTACCCAATGGTGGCAGCAATGAGTAACAGAAGGATTTGGCAGCATCTGCACCGGTGGCCAGGGGCCTGGTTCTCCCCATGTGTGATGATTTGTCCTCATTCGTCCAAGTGTTTTCTGATTGTGTTCAAAGCTGCTGAGCAACACAGTCACTTTGATAGCCAGAGCTGGGAACAGATGTCTTCACGCCCTCCACTGTTGTTCTTTAGACAGTAGTATTCACATTCTCACAAATAAATTAAGAGCACAAGAGTGAGGGAGAGATGCAAAAAGAAAAGGGAGAAATCGATTGATGAGAAGCTAAATAAAGTACATTAGGAAGAGCAGGGACACAGAGGCAGCGTTCCTCAGACAAACTCAGACGAGCAAATCTAGTGGGCTCTAATATCTTCACTGCTGGTTGTTAGGTGCGCCAAAGACCCTGCGTAAGCAGTCTAGGAGATTTTGGTCCCCCCAGGGCCACGATTCATGTGCCCACTCCAGAAGAGTCAGCCAGCTATCCTCTTTATATGTATCTGCAGGAGGAGAGCAGAGATCACATTTGAAAAGTCATCTGTATCTGTTCTTCTCCTCTGAATAGGTCAAATGTTGCATTTTTAACCACTTGCTTGGATCCCGATCATTGCTTCTTGCAGCTATATTTAATCATGTGATTGGACAGGAGATTTACAGGTGTGGGGTGTGTGATTGGCTTACTTCACTGAGGATCGCCCACACAGCAGAGTCTTTGAGAACTGAAAGCCGAAGTGCCAGGACAGGATTGAAGGAAGGATCTACAGCTCCTTCTGCCACACCCTTCTCAAACTGACCTTTGTGTTTAAGCGCACACAAACACACACAAAAGCACACATGATGTATTATATGTCATTTTTGTTTAATATACCAGTGCTCAAGTGAGAAAAAGACACATCGGAAACGTAGCTTGGCAACATGAACTGACTCCCTGGAAGAATACAAACTTTATTCAACCATCATTTCAGAACATGGCCTTCGTCTGTGTTTTTATTTTTATTTTTTACATAATAACAAAAAACTATTTAGAAAAAAAATGTTGAAAAAATAGAATAAAGAGGAGAAAATGGATGCAGGAAAAGCAAACAACTTCAGATGAAAATTGGAAGTGAAAAAAAAAAAAAATTTCAAATACTTTGGCACTGACTTTCACTTCAGGTACAAGTGTGAGCGTGTAATCTGATCACAATGTTTCAGTGTGTTCATATGCATTCTCACACATACAGTGGGTACGGAAAGTATTCAGACCCCTTTAAATGTTTCACTCTTTGTTTCATTGCAGCCATTTTCCAAAAATCAAAAAAGTTCATTTTATTTCTCAGTAATGTACACTCAGCACCCCATCTTGACAGAAAAAAACAGAAATGTAGAAATTTTTGCAAATTTATTAAAAAAGAAAAACTGAAATATCACATGGTCATAAGTATTCAGACCCTTTGCCGTGACACTCATATTTAACTCAGGTGCTGTCTATTTCTTCTGATCATCCTTGAGATGGTTCTACACCTTCATTTGAGTCCAGCTGTGTTTGATTATACTGATTGGACTTGATTAGGAAAGCCACACACCTGTCTATATAAGACCTTACAGCTCACAGTGCATGTCAGAGCAAATGAGAATCATGAGGTCAAAGGAACTGCCTGAAGAGCTCAGAGACAGAATTGTGGCAAGGCACAGATCTGGCCAAGGTTACAAAAAAATTTCTGCTGCACTTAAGGTTCCTAAGAGCACAGTGGCCTCCATAATCCTCAAATGGAAGACGTTTGGGACGACCAGAACCCTTCCTAGAGCTGGCCGTCCGGCCAAACTGAGCTATCGGGGGAGAAGAGCCTTGGTGAGAGAGGTAAAGAAGAACCCAAAGGTCACTGTGGCTGAGCTCCAGAGATGCAGTCGGGAGATGGGAGAAAGTTGTAGTAAGTCAACCATCACTGCAGCAATCCACCAGTCGGGGCTTTATGGCAGAGTGGCCCGACGGAAGCCTCTCCTCAGTGCAAGACACATGAAAGCCCGCATGGAGTTTGCTAAAAAACACCTGAAGGACTCCAAGATGGTGATAAATAAGATCCTCTGGTCTGATGAGACCAAGATAGAACTTTTTGGCCTTAATTCTAAGCGGTATGTGTGGAGAAAACCAGGCACTGCTCATCACCTGTCCAATACAGTCTCAACAGTGAAGCATGGTGGTGGCAGCATCATGCTGTGGGGGTGTTTTTCAGCTGCAGGGACAGGGCGACTGGTTGCAATCGAGGGAAAGATGAATGCGGCCAAGTACAGGGATATCCTGGACGAAAACCTTTTCCAGAGTGCTCTGGACCTCAGACTGGGCCGAAGGTTTACCTTCCAACAAGACAATAACACTAAGCACACCGCTAAAATAACGAAGGAGTGGCTTCACAACAACTCCGTGGCTGTTCTTGAATGGCCCAGCCAGAGCCCTGACTTAAACCCAATTGAGCATCTCTGGAGAGACCTGAAAATGGCTGTCCACCAACGTTTACCATCCAACCTGACAGAACTGGAGAGGATCTGCAAGATGTGAAAAACTTGTTGCATCTTTCCCAAAACGACTCATGGCTGTATTAGATCAAAAGGGTGCTTCTACTAAATACTGAGCAAAGGGTCTGAATACTTATGACCATGTGATATTTCAGTTTTTCTTTTTTAATAAATTTGCAAAAATTTCTACATTTCAGTTTTTTTCTGTCAAGATGGGGTGCTGAGTGTACATTACTGAGAAATAAAATTAACTTTTTTGATTTTTGGAAAATGGCTGCAATGAAACAAAGAGTGAAAAATTTTAAGGGGTATGAATACTTTCCGTACCCACTGTATAGCACTAGGCAACTGTCAAATGCACTTACCGATCCTGTAAAACCGGTCTTCAGTACGCTTGTACTTCTCTTTGGTCTGCAGTCCAGGTTCCTGACATATGAACACAGTGAAAGCTGAAAATGTTGACAATACACTGGAAGAGTGAATAACAACGTCAGAATGAATTGCCTCTGCCAGATCAAATTATTCTGTCATGCTCACGTTCCTGTCAATAATCAATATGCTACGACCCTAAGTGCAACCACTCAATTTAATTTAATCAAAAGCGATTGCACAAAAGGGTGAAAGACTGTGTGAGGCGGGGTGTTTCTCTACCGAGACAGGCAATATTTCCACCGTGGTGTTCTCGATTTTGTCTCCTGGGTGCTCCTGGTTACCGCTGCGAAACAGGAACCTGCAAACCAAACCAAGCATTCATTTTAATATTTACATTCTTGCACTTTTCCCCCAGGGCAGCTGAGACACAGATACACGCAGTCCATCAAGTCACTTGTGGATATTAGGTTAGTTAGGCAAGTTATGTCCATGAATTTAGAAAAAAATGGGAATGTAAAAGTATGTACACCCTTTGTGTCATCAGGTCTTAACTGTCAGTGGGATAAAGTTGATCAAAATGTTTTATGCTTCTTAGAAATCATTTTCAGGTCATAGTTACAGCTTTTAAACATTAAAAATTCCAGGATTTCTGCCTTTCTAGCCAGAAAAACCTGAGGAATTTCAGTGGATTTTAGAACAACTGGAGGGTGATTTTAATTCACAAAGCATGGACACAGCGTGGAATATGAGCTTCACTGTTTGTTTTTTGGGGGGTTCAAGATTCAAAGAAGAAATATGACACATGACCAAACACCCTTTTCAGGTCTGCTCTGATTCAAGCCATCAGTCTCGCTATCAGCTCTCTTTATATTCACCGTCTTGCTCCCTCTCTACCTCTGCTCCAGAGAGAGTAGGAGCCTGGCCTGAGAATGCTTATTTTAGAGCACTCTACTTAGCTCCCCCTGATCCCCGGAGACATACAGCGCATGCACGCTCACACACAGCGCGTATACACACAGAACACATGCTAAGGAAGTAGGGGGAAAGCCTTTATGTGCAAATGTTATGGCCATAAAGACAACAAACGGACTCCAGGCTAACTTTTTACATTGGTAGCACTTCACCTAACTTTCTCACCAACACATCATTTTGCTGCATCCAATTATACATTTTAAGCATTACCTTTGTTGTCAGTTTCTATGCACTATGGTAATTTTCTTAACCTATTATGTAAATAATTGTAAACAGGAATAAAATGTACAGATTAATGTTTTTAATAGACTTCAATTTAGTAGAATGTGGCTCTTCTTTGGCTTTTTTTATAGTGTTACATTTTATTATCATTTCTGACTCTGCAATGCTTCAGCACAGGACGTGTTTCTTGAAGACATTGTGCCTTTCTAACGTTTCATTTCATAACTCCGACAGCAAAAGCACTGTTCCCAGCCATGCATTGGCCGCACTATGACCTGTGAAAGTGTTCAATCACACTTGACAGATTTTTGGTAGCACCCTGCTTCGCATGCTCAATTTATTATCGGAATTCAAACAATAAGAAGATGTGCACACAAACACATTACAAACAGTCAAAGCCTTTCATACGTACCTCTCTACGCTAACAGGTCTGTCAAATTTGAAAAGGATGTAGTCTCCTGCAGTAGGCGTGATGGCCCAGAAGAAGTCCTCTCCTAGGTACGTCTTCTCTAGTGTGTGACCCTGATACACCTGTGTGACACAGTACACATGTTTTGTAGTTGTTGGTGTGTTGGTGGGATATTGCATAAAATCATTGTTTTTATTGTTATTCGTATAAACTAGACAATAGATAACTGCAAAGTAAAGATCCTGAGATGATATATTTCATGGGAACCCCGGCATCATACCTTCACTGAAGTGGAAACCTCAGCTGGGGGGTTTACATGCATCTTGTGGAGCAGTGGCTTCAGGAAGTCCTTGTCCTACAGCGACAGAGGGGAAGCACACATTTCTACACAGGAAGTAGCCTCTACTGTTAAATAACCGAATGTGAGAGTGTGGGACTCACTGTGAGCTTTTGAATCTTTCCAGCAAGAGAAGAATGGAGTCCCACATGTTGAAACAAGGAGGGTCTAAACCGCACACGTAGGCTGGACTTCTGCCGCTCGCAGTGTTTCTTTAAAAAAAAAAGAAAGGGAAGAAAGGGGAAGAATGATTACACCCATTCCCCTTCCAAAGACACTCTATATCTATACAGTAAAAAAAAACAGTGCTTACCGCATCTTTCTCAGGATTACAGACTTTGACCCAGAGAATGTGGTCCAGCAGCCAGTCGATGGGCTTCTCCTTGTAGAACATGAAGATGAACTCAACAATGAGGTTCAGGTCTGGAGCCTGGAACATTTTTCCTGTAGGGAAAGAGAGAATGGGAGGACGGGGGCTTATAAATGTTCATTGAACCCGCACAGAAGCATTAAGCATCATTAACAACCAATTATTTGCAACAAGATGATTTAACCATTAACTGAACAAAAAAACAATCAAGAAACACTGTAACAGTTTCACTTGGACTAAAAATACGCACACTCTTTATTTACATATTGTAGTGACATGCTGCATTTAGATTTGTTTTCCTTGTCAAAATCATATTACTTTACAATGACCTAATTTTTACAGCGATCAATATAATTTCTGTCTTTTCTCAACTGGCTGCTCCGGATCCTTCCACGGTGCTTTAGACTGTTTACCATACACCCTGCAAGTCTTACAGTATGAGAATGTCTTGCCAAATGAGTTAAGAGAATGAGTTAATAGCCACCATTAGGCCAGAAACCATCACGTAGCTTTGCTATTAGCTGACTAAGCAGATCTTGCTTCTTTTGGTGGGTGCCGAGTATTGATCACATGCTTAATGGATCGTACCAATGAAGCCCAGCTGAGAGAACTCCAGGATCATCCAATCCTCTGACGAGAGCTGCAGGGCAAAGTTCTTCATAGTGGCGAAGTAGTTGGGCTTGGCCACAATGTCATCCTCCAGCTGAAGGAACAGAGGCACAGAAAGAACAAAATGTAAGACAGAAGAAACAACTTTAACAGCTGGGGTTTATTGTTGGTGGAAAGGATGAGAAGCCGGGAGTCGGGTGGGGCTGGGGGATACTCCTCTATGTTCACACAAAGACAACACTATGAACTTAGCTAAGAAACACTTCTGAGTTGCTACACTGAACTACAGTAGCATTATATGTCAGACAGGCAATACCTCTTTCCCTGCAGGTGAGAGCAGAGAATGGAAAATGAGACACCCCATGCATAAGACAGAAAAATAAGAGATTAACAAAGCAGTGAAACTAAACTGCGCATGGCTGGTGTTAGCGCTTTAAATCTGCTGAGAGTAAACATTTATATAATCATTCCCAAATTGGATGCCTAGTTTAGCCAAGAAGACAGATAAGAGCTGTAGAAGTGAAAGAGGATTAGGCTAAGAATAAGTGAAACTGGCTATGGTCTGAAAAACAAAACAAAAACAACACTGGCTCTGATGAACGACTGCAACAACACACATTTGCTTAAAGTACTCGCAAGTTTTAATTTGGTATGACAAGCTCCAGCAAACCAGGGTTCATCTAGTAACAGGCTTTCACACCCATACCTGTGAGTAACTGTCTGCAGAGCCCTTCTTCAAATGCTAATGTTGCTATGGGAACATTTATATATTCATTTATTCTTTCAAGGACATACCTGGACATAATAAACTCCTTTGTTCACAGCGTACATCATGAGGAAGGAATAGTCCAGATTCTGCTTGGTTCTCCATCTAAACAAAGCAGAAATCCATCAACACACAAACTTATACACCCGTGAATAGTGAATCCATCTTGCTGAATCTTAAGGCAGCATTTTACCTGTGGAAAGCATGTCAGACACCCTGCTTCACATGCACAAAGTGTGCAAATAAATAAATAAATCGCAGGTATACTGAATGATATAGCAAGATTCAGTTTGAATCATTTATAAACTTTAGACACTTGCTGCTACGCTAATTGTTGATCTGAATGATCTGCCCCTGTTGCAGTCTGACTCGTGGCTGTGCACCGAGGGCTGCAGGTGTGGCTGGCTGGCACGCACGCACGCACAAGGGGTGGCTGTGGCTCAGGAGGTAGAGCGGGTTGCCCGTTAATCGTCTGCGTAAACTCATCCAGGTGATTGACTGTTGTGGCAGCTTCAGCAGTGAGGAAATGTAATATACCATTCATTTGAATGGATGCACATTGGCGCAAGCACACACACACAAAACATGCGTCTAAATTCTAACACTTTTGCACCATGGCTCATGTTGAACAAGATACTGACTGTTCAGACTGCCATCAGAAGCATCTGTGCTCATAAACACCCACGTACAAACATAACCCACATCCCTCTATGCCTAAAGGCTATTATCTGAGTACATACTGTAAGTAGTTGGCACAAACTGCACCATAAACAGATTTCTAATGAAGCCAGTTGTTAGCTATGTATAAAGAGAAGATAAGTAAAGAGGATAACAGGAGGGAGCACTACAGAGACAAAGAGATAGAGGGTGCTGCTGGTGATGACCTTGATCTGACTTTGAGAAATGCCTGTGGAATACAAAGTACCCAGGCAGCCTACCTAAAAGCTCTCGCTTGCTCGCTCCCTCCCACCATCCCCCTGACTCATCCTTCTACTCTGCAATCCTCATCACAGCTACATTTAATTTCTCTCGGAGCTGGTTTCTCCATGATTTAAATAATGGTTTTTATCACATTTTTTCCTAATTAAATGTGTGAGCACTGAACACGCTGATAACACAGATGTCATTGCCAATGTGAATTCCTTACTTGACTCTCTCTCTGGAGTCTCCAAAAGTCTCTTTGAGGTTGGTGAGCTCGGGGTAATAGGCGGCTGGTGGGGAGATCACCTCCAACAAGCCAGAATTCAGCTCTGTAGAAAACCTGAAGAAAGAAAGAAAAAGAAAATTGGTGACGTCGACAGGGTGAAACACACACACACACACACACACACACACACACACACGTTTTCTCTGGGTAACACTGTCTTTTAACTCTTCCACAATATTTCAGAAGGCAGAGAAGTGTACTCACTCTTTCTCCAGACCAGCAACCACGCTGTGAACGTAGTCCACATCAGTCTGCACAAATCAAACAAGGAAGAGACACATTACACACACAGACCCTTTCACATAATTTTTGAATTTATTGTGCAGAAACATCATGCTATGACTCATACTTAGATCTCACCTCCCCAACGAAGACAATAATGACACAGTCAAGTTTCTCCTCTGGTGACAGCTTGTCTATTAGTGAACGCAGCGTCTCTGACAGATAAGACTTCACCTTCCGCTTCACTGTGGGGATTCCCATCACCATGGTAACTGAGAAGCAGAAGAAATAGAAGAAGAAGAAGAAGAAGAATTGTTAGGTGAGTAAGTGTCTAAGGCTGCAGGTGTTGCTATTTATCCAAAACCAAATCATCTTTGCTGTTGGACAACAAGATTACATCGGCCTATATCCATAAGAACAGAAATTCTTGCCCAGACTGACAGATGGCAGTGGGAAGGATGACTGATGGACGTAGTTCGTAATGCATCTGCACTAGCATGCTGCATGTTATTATAGAAACATGTCTTCAAACAACAATCTTACACAATGTGCTTAATTCCAAAACCCGCAACATTTCAATTTACAACTTAATTCAAATGCTGCTGAATTTACATCAGGATGCAACAATGTTTGGACTTTATACAGAGACAGCAAACATGTATGATAGCTGGCATTTACACAACATCATTCTTTACCAGACATCTGCAAACCGTAGCTAAATGAATGAATGAGCTTTTCCTATCAGCTAAAACAAACAAAGTCAGACAGGCCAAAGCCAACAACAGTAAATTAGATAAAATAAACTAGAGAGCAGAACTGACAGGGAGTTTCAACCAAAACGTTAACAGACCCCAAACCGATTTTCAAATATAAACAAACCCTACATTTTGAGAAGCTTTGACATAGCTGCTGTTTTGTTACTTGATACACAACCTCACAATGAATCAATCCATCTTAATTGTCATCAATTGATTTTTTCAGTAAACCCCACTGATCACAAATATCAAGCCAATAATCATCTCTGAGCTAAGAAAGTTTACAAGTAGGAGCAAACATAATATTTAGTTGAGGATGTAGCTGATGAAGACAACAGTAAGACATGGAAAGAGAGGATGCGAGGGCGGCTATTGTCATCTCCTTATTACTCCTATTGTCTGAGGCTTGGAGTGGTTGTGGCTAAACAGACAACAGATTCCCTGAGTAGTACACCAAACTGAAAAAAAAAAACAGACTGTCACAGACATAAATACAGTTCATTTTACTTACTAGATACAAGGGTCACTTTCACGACGGAAAGAGAGAGTGAGGGAATGAGAGAGTGGAGAGTTGTACAGCAAGCCCACATTGGTGTGACAGCAAATGAAGGCAGAGGATGAACAAGTTATCAGGCCGGTTATCTGACACTAAATCAGTGTTTTCCTCGTGCTAAATGGCAATAAGTCAAGACGGCAGCATGAAATTGTCTATTAGCCTGTGTACGCTCTTTTTTTATGTTTAGATTTCTCTTTATCTATGCATGGTGTGCTTGCATTTTACTAAAATCAAATTCTAGAAGGTAGTTTTGCATAAAATGTAAAGTTACAGATTACTCTCTGCGTCTGTATGCTGTTTTTGTCAAGTACATGGACCAGGGCTAATGTGTGTATGTGTTTGCGTGTTCAGTTTAAAAAGGGAAGCGTGCGAACTGAGTTAATGTGGGGGCACAAAGGGCCTCAACAAAGGCACAAAAACTTGAGGTGCAGAATGAGTGGACTTGAGGCAAGGGTGCGATCATCCAGCGTGATCGGTGCAGCGTGGAGAATCTGTCCCAGTTTGGCTTTGTGTTAAGCACACTGAGCCTCTGTGTCGTATAGCGACACCCACAACCACCAAGAAAGTAGGTCGAAGATGAAAGGAGAATGTGGGAGAAAGGAAAAGAGACAGCAAGTGACAGAATAAGGGAGGGTTGCAGACAGTGAATGAGTGATAATGCATCCAAGTGCAGCGTGAGCAGGACTGACTCCAAGACTGCCCTTCCTCAAGTCAGCCTGCCCGCTTCGCTCTGCCATTCTTTCATCTCCTTCAGGAAAAGCAAAACAGTCTACATTTCTGTCCGCTTCTCTGTCACACCAGTGAAAAGAAGTGATGTGGTATGCAATACACATGAACAGAGTGTGGTGCTCGGCTATGTTTGTAATGTCCAGCAAAATGTCAGTTGATTGTTTGCATATAGTATCTCTCTCTCTCTTTTTGAGTGAACATATGTTATTTATCATATTACTTTTGGAATTTAGAAAATCATGAACTAAATAAAGAAGATACAGATTAAGTATAAATAATAAAATATAAATATAATGAAAGAAAACATAAATAAATGTGGTCACAGTGGCATATATATGGCCATCCATCTGCTCTGTTCTCAACAGGAGGGTGGATTTTGTTTAGTTTTTGTTTGAACCTGGGTGTTTATGCATATTTTATGTCCTTGTTTGTTTGTTTGTTTGTTTGTTTGTTTGTATCTACACAGTGACACGTTTGCTTTTGATATTTCATTTATTTTAAAAAGTTTAAAAAATTTATGAATATCACAAATTTGGGGTGATTCTCTGTGTGTGTGTGTGTGTGTGTGTGTGTGTGTGTGTGTGTGTGTGTGTGTGTTATACTCCTAGTTGTATGGACGTATTTTTGTAGGCCAACTCAGAAGTTTTCATCACCCAGGTTTCCTCAACAAAAAGCCAATGGGATTTTTCCATTAGGTTTTGGATACATAAAATTGCTCTTTGGCAAAGAAAAGTTTATATTTACACATTTTATTCAGTGAGAGAATCTTCACAAATGAACACTTTTATGATTTTCCAACGTTAAGCTATTAAAGTAAATTAAGTAAATTACACCACAGTCGCATCACTTCCAACGTCACCACCACTAAGCTTCCAATGTCATCAACAACGTCGGTGGTATTATTTAGTCACTTGTTACCAACCACCTCTGACACGTAAAAGCTTCAAAATTCAAGAGTGGGGTATTTACTTACGTATTTTATGTTGTAGAACAAAACATGAAAATCCCTTAAGCTTGTGTGCTTGTGGTTCTGTCTGTGTGCAGCTTAATACTACACAGTACTGTTTCACAAATTAAATTAAGAAATTCACAATGTTCTATTAAAAAAACACACGAGGTGTAGGGTGAATATAGGCCGAGGCCACACATGTATGTGATGGCACTGTCTGACAATCATCCCAAAACGCCCACATTTCAGGCATGGGAAAACAACTAACCTGATCATTGTATATCAATGTCACGAACGTGCGAGCATCATTTCTGATCATGATCTTACATGCAGACATTTGCTGGTAAAACACCAGGCGATGCTCAGCTGCTTTGACATGCGTTTCTGCTTGCAGCTGGAAGTGTGGCATTACAGCAGTGCAGCACGCCAGTCTGTGAGTGAGTGTAGTGTATGAATGCATAAAGGTAATTTGTTTCAGATTAGATCTTGTTGATAAGATCACAGCCATTCAGACTAAATTCAGAAATATTACAGGTTCAACAGCAAAGAAAGAAGCAACAAAATATGCAATTATGAGGTTGATGTTACTGACAGTTGATAGAAGCAAAAACCAGTGTTGCATTATAACGAAAGCAATTAGCTGTGCATCAGCAGCAGCGAGCGGGAAACTGGTGAGGGAACATACGCTTGTTCCTGCAATGGCGACTGCTACTGGTTAGTCGGGCCACCTGCACGGAGAAGCAGGGGGATCTGGGGGAGACTGCGTGAACCTTCATATGTGTTAGGCCTTTGCAGTGAGGCCCTTTGCAATAAGGAGAAAAGAAGCAGCTGCCATCTTATTCGAGCAGACCAAGTTGCTGTGTTTTGAAGACAATCTGACATTGTTGGAAATCATGGAATTACAACTTCCGGATCAGACACGTGATACACACTGCCCCCAAAAGACTTTTCCCCATAGGCTTACATTGCTTCTGTCAACTGACAGCTGATTTGATTCATTCAGTCTAATAACATTTGGAAAGTCTTGAAGAGCTGCAAGATTAAATAATTTTATCCCCATTCAAATTCAAGACGGGCAAAACTGGAAGTTAGCCGCTCAGCGGGGTAATTTCTTTTCTGCAAGTCGAACTTTTATAGCTTAATATGCCACTAAGAAGCTCCCATAGGAATGAATGCCAGTATCCAGTTCTCTTTATACATCCATGAAGCAGACACATGACTGACAACACTCTCCTCAGGCCAACAGAAGAGTCAGCAGCCACAAAGACTGCAGTAAAAGGAATTCGAAGTTGGGGAGAAATTGGGGGAGAGAGGATCTTTAACTGTAGCTTGTGACTTGTTTAATAGCTGGTCAGTGCTTGGCAATTAAAAAAAAAGTACTGACAGTGTATAAAAGGGCAAAAGTTGGCATGTGAGTTTGGAACAAGCCCGGCTGTATTTACAATAATGCTCTTTTGTTGCTTTCTGCCTGAAAGAAGCTTCAGTGAGGCCCCACTCCAACCATTTCTGTCTCAGAAGTTTGAACAGTTTCTTCCCACAATCCTCGTACAATTTAAAGTGGGATGATGTCCCAATTTGCACAGCTATTAATATCCCAATGTCAGATATGCTTAGACCAGCAGAGAAACAAGGGGCGAAGTAAAAAATGAAAGACACAGAGGTAGACCAAGAAAAACGAGGGCCGATAGGATAGAAAAAAGGGGCGATGGAGGGGCAAACCTTCTCTGAGGCAGTCATGTGTCTTTGTGACCAACCACTGCAGAGATCACTTCCCAGTAGCATTGCTCCCAGCTTTGTTGTGCGTTCCACTCCAAAACAGCTGATAGTGTTTTAGAGTGGGAAGCTGGTGAGAACAAGGCAGTAGGCAGCAACCAATTCAGCATTAATAGTGGCTAGGCAGTCTCTCTAAGATTTCTAAGAGAAAGCTAAAACAGTCTTAATACAGGTAACAGATACCTACTAACATAGTCATAAAACCAGACAGACTGACAATGACTCAGAGAAGGCAATGATAGATAGGGTTGCAATTTTTTTGTTTCCTGTGGGTACTCATTGATCAAACAGGCCACGGGGGGGGGGGGGACACCAGAAACTCCTACTTGTTCCCTGACATGTCCCTCCTTCCTTTCTTCAAATTTGTCTAGGGGCTCTGTTTTTCTCCCCAGCCATTGTCATTTGGAATGTGGGAACACCATATGAGCTATTCAGGCCCTAAACTTGCGTCCCAAATTCACTCCACTTCACTATCACACTTGCAATGCCAGGTAAGTAATCTTAGTAGTCTTAGAGAGAACCTGATATGGCAGAGGTCACATGCTGCATTGCTGCTGCTTGGGGGGGTGGGGGGGTGAAATGAAGGAACATTCAAAAATAAAAATGGGGTCGATGAAAATAGGAGCTAATAGAAAAGAGCAAAAGAGGTTGTGAGCTTCGTAAAAATGTGTTTGTAGTCTAAAGTCTTCAGTTTATGTTCTTAATGTAAATTTTCTTTTGTATAGCACTTTTTCTTACAGCAAATCTCTCAGTTTTAATAAAAGGGAGATAAAAGGACAACAGAAAAGCAAGTAGAATAGAGATTTGAAAACAAAAGGGAAATCCCTGTTTGATCAATCAAAGAGGTAGGATACATACTTGTAATGTAAATAGGGAATTGTAATGTACATACACTACAATTGCAAAGCTCAGCCCAGAGGGGGTACTTGTTGTGAACAAGGCACCAACTGAAAACTTGCTGGGACTTGATTGTCTGTCTGGTGTAATGAGAGTCTCTGGAGGTTTTACTGTGTTTGTGTAGTACAAGCATGCATATTCTGGAGGAAAAGCCTCGTTAATCAGGGAAGTTACTGTTGCGCTGAATTTGCATCGTATGCTTCTCACCTCCTGTGCGGCCGAGACCAACTTGCACGGCAGGTTGCAGGCTGCCCTCATTGTTGAGAAGGTGAGGCAGATGGTGGTAGATATTTGGCACCTGGAGAGGTTTCCTATTTGTGAGCTCCTTCAGTAGTTTCTGTGTCTCATCTGAAAGCAGGCACAGAGAAACACGTACATTCGTACAAGTCCTCATTGCAGTTTCATCAAATGATGACAGGAGTAAAATAATGCTGACTTTTAAAGCACAGTGACACTATAACTACAGAATCATTTAATAAAATATTTAACTATACACTCATTCACTTACAGTAGAAACTCATACTCATGTATACTCACTGGCTGCAGGACCTTGTGTTTGTTTTTAACCTATACCATACTATAAAAGTTCATACTGTATTTCCCTTAAGCAGGGCTCTTGAGGTTTTGTACTAGTCCGCTGCAGCCAATGATAAGACAAAATCATATCACTATAACAAATAACTAAATTGAGCTTTTACATGATACAACAAATTATATATATATATATACACACAAATGCAAGAAAAAGCACAATTACAGCCATAACTGAAATTCAAATAAAACTAAATAGGCATATAATGTTCACGACACTGCCATTATGATAATGAAAGTAAAAATGAGATGGACTTTTCATTTTGAAATTGGCAGACAGTGTGCAACATAGGCTCAAAGACAAAATTGCAGACTAGACTTTTAATCTGTTTATTTGAATTATGTGCTGTGCTACGATCTTGTGATTGATGTTTCAGCCAACTGGATTCTAAAATCCAAACCCTGTGGTTTTGAGGGTTGACTGACAAAGACGTTAAATGACCACGGAAAAACCTGTTTCATTTCATTAGAAATTTTGCCTGCTCTCGGAAAGGTACTTCCCCTGAGCATTTTCATCCCTTCATCTAAATCTTCATAACGTTGTGTTGCAATGTCTAGAAATCTAAAAGCAGGCTTTAATGTTTACTTAACACTACAGAAGCTCAGTTGGAGTCTGTGAGTCTTGTGTTAGCTACCTGAGAAGTTTGTGAGGGCATCTTTGCTGCTGTTGGTCTCGGCAATAGCTTTTCTGAACTGCTCGAGAATGTTGTTGAGCTCAGACGAGCGCTGCAGCGTCCTGTGCTCTGCCACACGAAGGCGCTCTTTCAAGGCATGGAACTCCCGCTGGTATGCTATCAGCTTCTCTATAAGGGGGGGAAAAAGAAGCAAGGAAGATGCATTAGCAGGTGACAACATGTACCATGTAAAGGTCCAGTTACTAGGGGGGGTGACAAGGGTTTTATTAAAGGACCATTTTAGCTCTGGGACACAACAGTGTTCAGCCATGAAGTAAAAACATCATAACATAACAACATAACAATATGGTGGTTTGGATTTAGGAAATGTAACTTAATGCATCTGATATGATGTTTATATTTCACTGCCTCATCTAAGCAACCACTTGCAGCTTTTATTTCACTGGAGTGCCCACTTTCATTGGCTAAACCAGAATGTCTCAAGTTAAAACTATTTAAAGGTGGTGAAGACTTTGAATCACATACAAATGCATGTAGCAGCAACACCATTTAGCAGAACTGCAGCAAAGTCATTACTAGAAATCCCTCAGAGATCGCTCACTTCTACCAAGGCTGCGTAGAGCACTAAAGGAGATATTTTAATAAAAGAAAATATTCAGATTTGGTTCTGCTACAAAATACTGATGATAATAATTCATGCTTCACGTGTACCAGATAGTAAATATAGTAGTTCTTGAGAATAAGACATGTTCACACATGACCTATTTCACAATGAGTAAGATACACACCAAAAATTGGCCTAAATATCCCTTATTCGCAGAGGTGGAAGTAAAGAATTATAAGTACTCTCGTTACTGTACTTCAGTCATTTTTTAGGCACTTGTACTTTTATAAGTATTTTTTTAAGTCTGTAATTTTACTCTTAAGTATGCATTACACTATGTAATCTACTATGCTACTTTAAAAATATTAATTCGCTACTGAGTAGGCCTACAATTTAAATAAAATCCAAGTCTGTCATATGCATTTTAGTAGCCAATAAGTCGTTGTCAGTACAAGATTAGAGGCAAGGTTGTAAGAACCACAACTGATAGTGGATCTGACTTCATCAAAGCTTTCCATGTGTTTGGGGCAGAGAAGGATGCTGATGAAGCAGATCCAGATGCTCTTGACCTGAGTGACCATGTTGGATATGTTGATGCAAGTTCAATCCTTGATGAGGACTCTGGTCAAGAATATCAACTACCATCAACAGATGCGGCCCTGGCAGAGGGCATGAATGACACCTAAAAGAGGCTTTCCCGTGCAACCTCTGCAAAATGCCAGGGCATTTGGAACAAAACAGGGCGATCCCATTTGGCTAGTGAAGTGGTTGAGGACAAATGCCATTGAAAGAATAATACGTATCCATGATAAGAAGGGGGAAGATGCCATCGGGACAGTGTGTGAGGAGTTCAAGGTGAAATTTGGTGATTTACATAATCCCATTTGTGTGTGCTGCTATGTGCACACATGTATATAAGTGTATATACTTTATAACTCTTCAGTCATGACTAAAGGCTTTTACTTATTGATGAGGTCCCCAAATTTTTTTACAGTATCCTTTTTTGTGATTTAGCTGATGCTAAAGCACCAAAATTGTGTTGTCTGCTTGTAATTACAGACTTGACATACGTGAAACAACATCTTGAAACAACCAAGCAGCTGCAAAGAGAGTCATCTGATGACAACAATTTCTTCTCCAGACCAACCCCAAAGTCACAAAATCCAGTTGAGCTTGACGGTTATCTTGTGCCATACCCAGCACGGAGCTGCTTCACTCCATTCCAGCCATTAAGAAGCTCTCATTCAAGCTGAACACAGCTCTGCCTGCCTCTGCTGCACGTGAACAGCTTTTTAGCTGCGCTGGTCAACTCTTCACACGAAGCCAGATAGACTGTTAACTTGGAAAATCAGCTCCTGCTGAAACTGAACAAAAGGTTTAGAATGTGAACTGTACAAGTTATGCTTTTCTAACAGTTTTGACACACCATTAGTCCCATTGTGAATGTTTGTTTGCTGTGCACTGGGAGAAGTTTATACTAATGTGTTCTACGCATTTTAGTATACATTTACCAGCCCAAATTCCTGCTTTATGTGTATTTGTTTAGAAAGCAAATTGCCTTAGTTATATCCATTCATAACTTTTTATATCAAAGAAATGTGCTGTGATGTGAAGTAGATATTATTTTTATAAGGATCTCCCCTTTCGACTGAATGCCTGCTAGTGATAATGCATTAAAAATCAGCAGTTAAAAAGTAACTAATGCTCCGAGTACTTTTTGAGAAGAACATTTTGTACTTTAAATACTTTTTAACACCAGTAGTTTTACTTGAAGTTGAGAAGTATTTTAGTACTGTAACAGTACTTCTATTTGAGTACATATTTTCAGTACTCTTTCCACCACTGCTAATTCTGCACTTCAAGACTACGGAGAGGAGGGAGGGAGCTATTCAGTGACCTAACCAGCATATCTAGAGTGTATAGGAATTTAGAGCATTTGTCTCAAAGCTGCTTTTCAAGTCTCTGATCTATGGCAGTGCTACGTAATGATAGTCGACAATAGGAAACCTCTGTCGTGATGAGCTCTTATCAGGAAACAGAAGTTTAGTGGTTGGTGTAGGCGTTTGAGAGGAGAGCCTGAGAAATTCTATGGAAAGGGCTCTGATGGTCAGCAATGGTCTGTTTGTGGGGTGAGACTTGTGTAGGCCTGACATGCACAGTGAGTCAGTCTTACGTCACTTTTTGCTTTTACTTTGTCATACATTATGTAACCAGCTCATTCATTATAATGAGAAGAATGCACATGTGTGGCATTCATTGACATGCCCTCATGTACGGACTTGATTTTGTTCTAAAATTCATGAGGTTACATGGAGAGTACAATTAACACCTCAGGTGTGTGTGTGTGTGTGTGTGTGTGTGTGTGTGTGTGTGTGTGTGTGTGTGTGTGTGTGTGTGTGTGTGTGTGTGTGGTGGTGGTGGTGGGGGGGGCGTTGGGAGATAATGTGCCCTTTCAGAGAACCCTTTCCTCCAACAACACCCAGACTCCCTTTATCTTCCCCTCTCCCTAAACTCACTCTCTCTCTGACAGCTATTTGTCCATCCACTATGCACTCGCTGCTCTTCCTCACAGAACCATGTTGTTCCTTCTGAACGTTGATCTCTAAGACACACCGACAGATGCTGTCATTTCGCCCAAACCTCATGAAAAGGGGGAACTTCAAACTAAAACAGACTTTCATCTCCACATCTGTCCTTTGATTGTGGGACTCCAGGCCTGCTGGGGTGAAACCACACCTGTAATCCCACTGTGCAAAGAAACAAAGACACAATGAGCTCCACAGGAACAGAAACAAGAAGTAGACAGGGTTTCTATTTAGCTATGTTTCCTATGCACAGATGTATTAGATGGCGAAAATGTAATAACACATTCTCTTTTGAAGAATTGCCTCCTCCCATTACCTGAGTCAGTGCCAAAATATGGTGAGCAAAATGCAAATAATAGGGTAAATGGTGAACATACTCTGTTGATGTACAGCCACTGAATGACTGGATGGCTACATAAAATGCATTAAACAATTAGATCTACCTGAGGTCAGGAGTACATGTCTACAATCTCATTATTGTTCTCTCTCTCGGACTATAAGCAGCGGGGGAAGGGCTAAGTGGCTATGCTCTGCCTCCGAGCTTAACAGCCTCTCTCCTTCCTTCTGTTTGTTTTTTTTTTTTTACATTCACATGTTTTTGTCCTACACTTTCTGTGCTTCCATTCCCACATACACTTGTCTTTTCCCTCCTTCTGTCTCTCCTGATATCCAAATACTCATGGTCGCTCCTCTCCTGTGATATTTTGCCTTGACGTGTCACTGTTGATTAACTTGCTCAGTTTTTTTGACGCGGGAGGAATGGGAAGTTGGACATGTGGTCAACAACTACCCTTTAAAAATGAACAGACTCAAGGCCTCTCTCTCACTCTCACACACACACACACACACACACACACACTAACTTGATAGCAAAACTTATACTGCTGCAAATTTGTGCAACCAAATTTTGTGCTGAGTTCAGTAACTAAAAAAGTTACCTGGCTCAGGCCATAAAGTTGAACACAGATGAGACGGCGAGCTTGCATGCAATGACAGTTTCAAGTTGTATTTAAGTTTTTATGACAGCGCTGAGGGAAACTTGATTGAAGAAAATAACCTTATAGTGAACTTAACTTTTAGCTTTGGTTTGTCTCTCTGACTTGCTAACAGCGTGTAAACTGAAGCTCTCAGTGTCGCTGCTCTTGTAAAAACGCTACACGTTGTTCTGTTGCTGTGTGCATCATGTGTCTGCAGAGTCTATTCGTCCAATCCACATGATAACTCGTTATGCAGTTTAGTCAACCAACCAGCATATCTAGAAACACTACAGACTCTTCTGTATTTCAGTTGCTGGGCTCATTGCAGTTACTATCACTGTCACTGGGTCATTGTATTACCTATATAATATAAAATATTGATAATGCACACTGATGATTTTCATATATTTACAAAATGTATTCGCTGTTATTTTATTTTTTATGCACACAAAATTGCAATTGTATTTGTAGTTTTCGATATAAAACTTGTTGAAATGGTTTCAGTGTGTGTTATCAGTACATTTTAATCTTTTTCGGCACATCTTTACAATACTGTGATAATACTGATAACTGTGATCATTTTGGTCACTATAATCATGATATGAAATTTTCATACCGTTTCAATCATGATATGAAATTTTCATACCGTTTCATCCCTACAAGTGATGTCATCAAGCCGACAACGTCACATTAAGTTTCAGTTTTGTCTGTTGCGGTTGATATTAAGAGGGGTGTTTTTTCCTCTCCCCTTTTTGCCACTCTCCTATATTACCTTCATTGCTGTGCATAAATGTTAAAGCGCACAGCCTTAAATAAATTCATCACTGGGAAGGTCTGTTTCAGAGTTCTTTAGTCAGGGCACATATCCGTACCTTGAGCCAACTCTAACCAGATGATTCCCTGGAAATCCTATCTCCTTCACAGGCACATGTGTGAACAAATGTAAAACTGACTATAGGTTGTATCAGAAATTTATGGGATCCAAAATCAGAGGAGTTACAT